TATGAATTGGCCTATAATGAATTAACCAAACAGTTAACACCTATTGACGACGATGGTAATTTACAAAGTGACACAATTACCGAACATTCCGAGCTAATACAGACGATTGAATCACGTCAACAAAACAATAATGAAGTCGATATAATTACAAAGGAACTACGTGAAAATAAAACAATTCTGCGGCAGCTCAAGGAACAAATGAAAGAAGAAAAGACCAATTTCGACGAGAAGTTTGCCAATAGGACCGAACGTTTGGAACAACTTCGTGACCAGTTGCACAATATTAAACGCATAAATGATTTAGAATGTCGTCTCGTCGAGAAATGGGAAGCAAATCGTCTCTCACAAGCCACAATAATGGGCCAGAATGAAGAACGTTCACTGATGAAACAAATTGTCGATTTACATCGTCGTTTGGCTGGCGAACAGCGTCTAATTTGTGAAGTTGAATCATTTCGAAAACACGAAGCTACCCAGTTGCAGGAACAAATTGCCCATTGGGAACAAAAATTTAAAGATGAAAAGGCAAAGATTTTTGCTAAAAATTTACAGCTAAGTGAAAGTATTGCCGAAATTATAAAATCACATGAAAAACATTCGGAAATAAAAGCCGAACGTCAGCAGTTCGTCAATGAGTATTTACGGGAGAAGGAAGAGGAGCGCCGTCTCTATGAAGAACAAATGTATCGTGTTGAGTGTGCTGTACGCATACAATCTTGGTGGCGTGGCACGATGGTGCGGAATGGACTTGGACCGTATCGTAAGAAATCGAAAAAGGGTAAAAAATCAAAAGCTAAGAAATAAAGGGATATATGATTTGGATACTGTTTATTTAAATAAAGGGCAAAAAATGAAATAAAGACTTTATTTTTAATATAATGAAACCATTGACTAATTTGATAATATTTTAATAAATAAATATAAATAAAAAATGTTAATATGTGTATATTTAAGCTGAGTCGATTTATGCATGTAAACAAAGTACAGGTCGCATTTATGATCCGAATTGGATGAAATTTGACACAGTTCATTTATTTGGAACAAGGACGAACCCTATTGAAATTGGGAAAAATCGGTTCAGATTTAGATATAGCTCCCATATATATTTTCGTCCGATTTAAGGTAAATTGTGTACTAAAGTGCCTTTACATCATTCGATTTGGACGAAATTCGGCATAGCGTACTGCCTTAAGTCTAGAATGATGAGTGTTAAGTTTCGTGAAAATCGGTTCAGATTTAGATATAGCTCCCATATATATTTTCGTCCGATTTGTGGTAAAGGGTGTACCAAAGTACCTGTATATCAATCGATTTGGACGAAATTTGGCATAACGTACTGAAGTAAGTCTGGAATGATGTGTGTTAAGTTTCGTGAAAATCGGTTCAGATTTGGATATAGCTCCCATATATATTTTCGTTCGATTTAATGTAAATGTTGTACTAAAGTCCCTGTATATCATTCGATTTGGACGAAATTTTTCATAGCGTACTGCCTTAAATCTAGAATGATGTGTGTTAAGTTTCGTGAAAATCGGTTCAGATTTAGATATAGCTCCTATATATATTTTCGTCTGATTTTACATAAATGGTGCACCAAACTCCTATGTATTTCGAACGGGTGTCTGATTGAGATTAAATGTGTGTGTGTTTCGAGAATATCGGTTCAGATTTAGATATAGGTCCCATATATAGTTCGGTCCGAGTTAATGGTGCACTTTCGATTTGGACGAAATTTGGCATAGCGTACTGACATAAGTCTAGAATGATGTGTGTTAAGTTTCGTAAAAATCGGTTCAGATTTAGATATAGTTCCCATATATATTTTCGTCCGATTTTATATTAATGGTGCACCAAATTCCTATGTATTTCGAACGGGTGTCTCATTGAGATTAAATTTTTAACAGTGCTGCGTACCGAATAGCGTGTATCAATTTTGCTACAAATCGTTTTCCATAAATTTGTCCCATGGTACGCAGACGACTCTAAATCTGCCCGAAATATTCCTTCAAGGGAACATTGATATACAATTGTATGGATGCATATGTACAATATACCCAAGTGATGAAGGGTTTCATGTAGTCGCCCAGTCCGACTTACTGGTTTTCTTATAGAAAGTAACCAATAGGTCTTCGTACTGGATAGTAAAAGATTTTCGCATTGACCATATGTATTCATGTAGAAGACCAGAATATCTTAGTACAGAGGGCCTTCTGCTAGAACAGTAGATTTGCATTCTAATAGAATAGAAATTGTTCTGATAGAAGTCCGATAATTATTTCTATAGAAGACCATAAATTACTTATAAAGGAGAATAGAGTATTCTTGTAGGACACCAGGGTTACATCTTATAAACAATAAAAGGCTTTTCGATGGAGTACCATAAAGAGGTCCTATAGAATCTCAAAAAAAAAAAAAAAAGAATATTAAACACAAAGTTTATTTCAGAGCAGAAGTTTTTTCTTATAGAGTAAAAAATACCATAACAGATGGCCTCATATTTTATAATGGAAAACCTTCATATAAAGAATCCGTCGATTTTCGTGTTACACTTATAGAAAACCGAATGTTTTTGTAATTAGAACCTGGATGATTTCTCAAAGAAGAATAAACGGATTTCGTATGGAAGGTCAGAAAGTCTTCTAATAGAAACACATTAGATATTCTTGAAGCTCCGTAGATATTACAATATACGACTAGAGGGCATATTTAATGAAGATAAGACAATTGTCTAATAAAGTTAAAGATTGTCTTCTTTTAGAATATCGGATACTAGTTTCACATAAAACTCCCCAGGGTAATCTTATGGAAGCTACGAAGGTACTCTTATAGAAGACAACTTCAATATAGAAGTTGTATTCTTATAGACGATTAGATGATTTGCTTAGAATAGACCAGAAAGTCATTTTTTAGAGGACAAGATGATTTTTTTATTCGCTCAGAATATACTCTTATTAAGGGCCAGATTATGAATAGTCCTTTAGAGAAAAGTGATTGAGAACAACTAGAAACGATGTGAAGTTCGACCCGTCCGTACTTTTTGTACCCTCGACCATGACAATAAAAATATAAGTTTTGGGAAAATGAAATCCATTATTTTTATAGGTGAACTATAGGCCTAGTAGTACTCTCTATTTGCAAAAACTCTAGAAGTCGATTTTTACAATCCTCCCTAGATACCAATTATTTATCATTAAAGAAATTTTGATATACAAGAAAAAAATGATAATCGCTTGGTTTCAAGTCCGGGCTGTATGGCGGATGCATTAAAACTTCCCAACCAAACTCCCGAAGTTTCTGGCGAGTCTCTGTAAATTTGTGTGTCCTGGTGGAATACGACACCTGTCCTATTGGCCAATTCTGGCAATTTCTGGTCAATTGCTACCTTCAAACGGTACAGTTTTTGACAGTAGAGATCATATGGAAGCCTCATAATAAATAATTCCCTTTCAGTCCCACCAAATACATAGCAGAACCTTTCTAATCATTAGTCCTGGTTTGGCCACCGTTTGTAATTGGTGTGTCACCCAAACATACGACTGCTAACATGCCGGTCAACTTCGATCATTTCTCCGATTTTATCAAAATTTTCGACGACGGGCCTAATGGATATCTTTTTCCCCAACCTAATATTTAAAATTAATGGAGCTGATGGGAGAAAAGTCATGTTATTATAGGACATTGAACATTGCGAAAAATTCTCATGTATTTTTCGCAGAAGATCAATATTAATAATTATTAATACGGATATGATCTATACCATGAGAACCGAAAATAGCAAATTACAGCCAATTCTGTTGGAAAGTCTGACCAAAATCCCCAAAATAACGAATTCGTGATTTCAACAAACGGACATGCGTAAATTGCATTTATGGGGTCCGCGGTGAATATTTCAATGTGTTACACGAGGGATGACAAATTTAATATACAGTCCACCTTTTTAAAAATTCGCGTTATGGAAATATCCTTTTCAAAAATTGCACTTGCGAATATTTCTTGAAAATAACTTTTAAAAAATCCGTGCTATATATGGGCTTTTTGAAACATCGTTTAAAAATTCACGCTTGTTAATAGCCCGAAAAAATATTCTTTAAAATCTAAGCCCCTTTAAAAATTCTAAACTTATTCATAGTCCCTGAAAAATAATTTATATACCCTACACAACTATGTTGTCAGGGTAACGCCGCGAAATATTGGTCCTAGACCCACCTTTAAGTATCTCGACTAGCTGAGTCGATCTAGACATGTGTGTCCGTCCGTTCCTCCGTCTGTCCATTATAATTTGTAAACACGATACAGGCCAAAGTTATGGGCCAATCTTCATGAAATTTTGTATGTAGGATGGGTTCTGGCCAATGATGACCCCTATTGTTTTGGTAAAAGATCGGTTAATATTTAGGGGATGAAATGGATCAAAAACTTTATTTTTGTCGGTTTTTCTGGTAGCTCCAGAAGCCGCAATTATGGTCCAAACACCTCGAATTTTTGCATGGAGAAGGGGATCGGGCCAAAGAATAAGTATGCCTGTTTTTATAAAGATCGGTCAATGTTTAGCGGGTCAAATGGACCCTGACTTTTGTGTGAAAAATTCCAAAATTTGTATTCTATGGCGAATATATTTGCCCCTGATGGTCCTAGACCCGAGAAATTGATAGTATGTTCAAGAGGAGTGGTTGATATTTAAATTGGTACCAATTATATGGTCGTATGTATTCGGATGTGGGAGTTGCACATACATATTTACGGGTGCTTACGTACTGTGATATTATTTAGTAACCCATTACCACATTAGAGGGCGGAATTATAGCGCTGATTGCTTTGAAAATTTCCATGAGATTCCAGTTATGGTGAAGGACAACGCCTATAATTTTGGGCGATGATCACATAATAATTTTGGGATGAAATGGAACGAAAATTTAATTTTTTTGTGTTTTTTCGAGTCGATCTATAGGCCACAATTGAAAGCCGAAGATCGCAACACAACCCACGCTGATGGGAATATGGACAAGCAATTAGAAGGACTGAAGGAAAATATGTCAGTGTAAGGAAAAGGTGCTGTTGACCTTTAATGGGGCAAGAGGGTGCAAATATCACAAAATATTGTCCAGGCTCAGAATAAACACCAGCAGAAAGTTAGAGTTCCGTGGTAGTTGTGTAGGGTATCGTATGGTCGGCCCCGTCCGACTATACTGCTCTGCTCTCTGGTTAAAAATTCTTTATTCGTGATAGTTGCAGTGAAAAAAAAAATAAAATATTTCCGCTTCGAAATAATCGTTAAAATATTTATTGATATTCCCTGAAAATATTCTTTAAAAATCTTCAATTGAGTTGATATGGAAAAATATTATACAACGCCAGCGTGATCTAAAATAATGAAATAATTTTCTTGATTCGTTATAATAACAAATCACTCTCGTATTTCTATTAACATATTTCATTTCAATCTTCATATATTTGGAAAAAATATATACGATAAACATACGTGCATGTGTAATTCAAAATTTCCCCAATTTATTACTCAAGCAAATGTTTGTCTAAGTCTAATTGAAAATGCTGTGGTATCAAAATGTTAATAACAAAATCGGAAAATTGATATTTTGATTGCCTTAATATTATGCACACCTATGGTGGGGATACATTTCATCCCTTATCAGCATATCTTATAGCAAATCCTATAAACAAAAGATTTTAATCTATGGGCATAGAAATTAACGCCATGGTATTTTTTGGGGGGGCGACGAAGGCAACCAAATGATTATATAAAAAAATCTATTTACAAATATATTAACATTGTATGGGTGTAAAAA